TATTGTCAAGTATAACATATGTCTTAGACAATTTTTTTGAGCTTACATTTGTTTTTATTTAGGTCTAGAGCAATTATTATTAATATTCAGTCTAATCGATCAAGTCAACTTGTTTCGCATTTTACCCTAGTCCCAAAATCTACCTGGAAAACTTACAGATTTATATTGATTTGAATAGTTTAAACTATTACTTGACTTTATTTTATATTTTCCAAATAGACAATGAGCACACATAAAAAACAATACCTTTATTATATAATTTTAGTTCTAATAAACATGTTTAAGATCCACTCTTTGGCATAAAAGCACAAACAATATTTACTTATATATGGCAAATAATATAACTCTTTTAATATCTTTTAATTAACTCATAATTAAGACAAAATATTACAATTTAGAGGTGTTACCCAGTTCGAGCTAACCCACGAAAATCCGTTCTCAATTCTCATGTTCCGACATATTGAAAACATAAAAAATAAGCAAGGTAATATTTTAAAACCGATCTTAACAGTTTTCCATAATAATTCACGATTCAATTTGTAAATTTCTTCCTAAAGTATGATGGTTTTGAATTGTTGTATATTTTAATGATATTTTATAACATGCTTCTCATAACTACAAAACAATAATAATAGTTATGAGTGGTAAATAATAATATTATTAATAGCAAATATAAATTAGTAAAAAAATACATTAAACTACTAATATTTATTTTAAAGACACATCAAGAAGTATATTAATTTCAACTATAGTCACTATTGTACGTACAAATAAAGGGCATCAATTTAGATCGATTGCAGGTCCCATAAAATCGTCATTGTTATAACTCAATAATGTTTCAATATAAATCTGTTGTAGTCTTTGTTTTGAAGTTAAAGGCAAACGTAAATATTTCATAAGAACCAGAAACAATAGCCATTTCTATGTTATAGCGTATCCAACCAATGATGAAATCAAAAATCTAAAATAAACTCTCAAGTTATCAGTAAATATTTATAACGGAACAAAAATTATAAATCTGTTTCCTACGGAATTGAAATCGGACCATCCTAAGTACGAATACAGTCGATAGTTTGTTTAGTTTTTTTGTCTAAAACGTAAAAAAAAACCGACTAAATATTGGTATGAATGCTATAAAAATAAGTTTAATCCAGAATAAACGACAATCTAATAGAAGAAACACAATAATAATAAAATGTATAAATTGTTGGATTACAAGTTATCTATAACGTACAAAATATAAATTTAAACTGTCTGCCTGGTATTTTAATAACATGGTTTTATGTTTGTGAGTTTTTATTGACAACTGCAATTTCATTTGTTACTAAAAATTTATACAACTAATTTTGGTGCAATTTTCGGTAGTTAGAGTAAATTTGTTTTTGTAAGTAACAAATTATTTGAATTATTTTTGTAAAGTAGCGGTATTGTGTAAATGAAAATAATTCATAGTACAAGCATAATACGTTAAAACCGAAACCCTGAAACTACTACCATTTAACCTCAAATACATTTCATATTTTTATAATTATTTCTAAATGTCTATAATATTATTACAATATAATTTTGTTTCCACCCGAATATATTTAGCTACATTAGAGTTAAACAAAATTGTCTGTATTCGACTATTGCACAAGGTGTGTTGCAATGTAAACAAATGATTAATGTCTGTTGCCTGTTGGTATCAAACGAATTCAACTTTATCATTGCTCTTTAGCAAAAACTAGTTGTTTTCATATTTCGTTTTGTCGTTTGTATATTTAAGTGTTTGAACCATTTTTCTTAAGTTACTGCAGCAATGTAAACACATGAAAAATATTTAACATTTAACACAGTACAAAAAAAATGTATAGTTTTGTTTTTGGTCGAAATAAAGTTTTCATTAAAATTATTTTAATATAGCTGTAATATTATCCCAGAACATAGTAATATAATTTATAGGTCTTTACTCAGTGGCGGATTTCAGATGGCAGGGACGATGGGGCAATCGCCCCCCCCCTCCCATTCGGCCTAGTTTATGTGTGTTATGTATATTTTGAAAACGTTTATAAGTGCATTGTAATAAATTGTTATTATTAATAACCAAAGCTGGCTTATATCTTTACTGGCTACTGACTTTACCCTTTTACTCATATAACCATAGTGTCCTAAAAAAAGTAACCATTAGGTTCAATAAAATTCCTTAGTTAGCTCCAGCTGTGTAGTACGAGTACCTCTAATTTTTGTTATTTTTTCTTTATTATAGAGTAAATACAAAAAGAATTATATTTTTTATCATGTATTATAGTACATATCATTTATGCTTATCTGACCTACGAGTGGATCTTAAATATGTTTATTAAAACAAAAATTATAGGATAAAGGTGTTTTTATTTGTGCTTAATATTGTATATTTAACCCTCGCTTCGGCCCCATCAACCTAGCCTCATAGATGGCTCTATGGACTGGGCTAACTTCCGCGCAACCATCGAACAGAAAATACAACTTAAAACTCGACTTAAACTCCCAAATGATATTGAAGAAGCCGTCCAAAATTTCACTAACATAATACAATCAGCTGCCTGGAACTCATCTATCAAAAAACATCCCAAACCCCAAAACACCACCCTGGTCCCAATCCATATCCGTGAGCTAATAGCAAAAAAACGGCGCGCCAGAGCTATATGGCAACGCACCCGACTACCATCCGACAAACAGATATTTAACAATGTTGCATCGTCTCTTAAACGAACATTAAACCGTCTAAGAAACGACAACTTCACCTCCTGGATTTCTTCACTTACTTCAAAGGATGGTTCCCTGTGGAGGGCTACGCGAAATTGTCTAAAACAAAAACCCATCAACTCTCCCTTAAAAAAAGATGACAACTCTTGGTGCAAATCAGACGAATAAAAGTCTGAACTTTTCTGCTCGCACTTGATAAATGTCTTTCAACCCCACCACGACATCTCTAACAACGTATTTGTAAAGCATGTCAATAAAACCTTGACCTCCCCTATGCCTCTCTACTTTGCTCCCAAACCGTTCACTCCGGGCGAAATCCAATACCATGTTGGACCGGTTTCCTCTCAAAAAATCTCCGGGTTTAGATTTAATCACAGCCGATGTGGCTCGCCAACTCCCCAAAAAAGCATATATTTTTATTAAAACGAACAGATTGATAAAAATAAAAAATCAAACACTGAAATTGTTTAATGAATTTCGATTACAAATTTTTGGATTTAAAACATTTGTTGACATTTGAAAAAAACTAGGTCGATACTTGTTTTGCGTATTCGACTATCTTACATGACAAATGTATGCTGTTATAATAAAGTTTCAACTTAATTATTGTCCTTTAGCAAATACAAGTTGTATTCATATTTTGTTTTGTCGATGGTGTATTTAAGTGTTAGCAATGTAAACAAATGAAAAATACCTATGGTTGTTAGTAGTTACAATCTATAAAATTTAACATTTTCAACAATGTCATTTTTTACACAAAAAAACGTATAGTTTTGTTTTTGGTCGAAAACAAGTGTTATTATCACATAACAAACTAATATAATACATGCTAAGGCGTAACCTTTAATCATACAACTATAGTGCCTTTATATATTTAAACGTGATTTCAATATTATGTTTACACAAAAGCAATCGATTTATTTTCTTACATTATAATATACAGTATTTTACAATAATTTGTATAGTTTTATTTTATTCTTTTCAGAAACAAGATGTTTTTCACAACACCTGTTTTCCATTAAAATAACAACAAAGAACTGTAGGTATCATACATTTTTAAGTTTTAACATAATGTATTACAAAAGCTATTAGAGTTTTTGTCGAAAACAAGCTGTTTTTTAAAGTATTCAAATTTATATTATTTGTGTACTTAAATGTTTGAACTATTTATTTTCTTGTATTGTAGAACCCTGATTTTACAATAAAAAAAAAAATGAATTTTTCAATTGTTTCCTACAATACATATTATCATTGATTATTATAAATATTATCTATAATCTATAATATTTATAATTAATAATAATATTTATTGAATAAAACAAACCTTTAAATATACCAAACCGATATTTTTGTACTTATTAGGGGAGCTTCATGTGGTCTGTTTTTTGACGTTTTTAACAAAAAAGCTAAAGAAAATGTCGACTTCTTAGGAGGGTCCGATTTGAACTGTGTAAAGGTATACGAGTCGAATTTAACTAGGTCTTGTAGGAATAATTTAAAATTTTTGTTTCCAGATTTAATTTGGTCTTTAATTACAAGACACTGACATTTTTAAATGAAAATGGGCTTAATCTGCTTAATGTACATGGAATTTGATGATACTAAATATCATATATTATGAGGCGCCTAGAACAAAATTGGTATAAGTGACATTTCGTTGATTTTGAGGAAGTCAAGCTAGGGTTAAGTGATTTGCTACCAGATCGTAGCAAATAATGAATAATTCACTTATATATTATCTTTACCACCATAAAAATGGACAATTTGTAATTAAGCTGTAGACTTGACTCAGATTTTGTAAAAATGTCTGTAGGTAAAAATCTGTGATAAAGATAGTTTTCCAAGTAATTTTTGGGACTGGGGTAAAATTCGAAAAAGAAGTTTTGGCTTATTAGACTAAAGTTGCTCTATAGACGGAAATAAACTAAAGTATCTCATAAACAAATAAGCACGTAATTGGTTGAGGATTGCAATAGCCACAAAGAAGTTTTTAAGGAAAATTAGGAAAATACCAAAAACACATGATTATATATTATATGATTCAAAATATTTTTATTGTGTTATTAGAACATTATATTGTTATAAATAAAACTATTATAATTTTATGTTTATCTAAAATTTAAAATATATAATTATTCGCCAATTGTGATTACATTATCTTTTTTCAAACTTTTTAGAATAAGGTTTTCTTTTTTCCCCAAGAATTATCATTGTCTTTGGACGAATATAGTTCCAAATGTTATTTCTGCTATTTTGAAAGTAAACCTTTTTCCGTACCTGTTAGCTTCTTTTATCCCCTTTGCTAGAAGCTTAACGATAACATCCATATAGGCTTTATGATCTTTACTAAAAGATAAGTAAAATAAAATAGTTCAAACTTTTTTTTTAAATATCCTCTCAATTGTATTAAATTATATTGAAATATGTCTATTAGAGCGTTGATAAGAATATAAACACTCACGATTGTTTTAGAATAAACACCGCTTCTGTAAAGCAGAAAAGTTTTTAATGAAATATATTATATTATGTAAAATGTTTTACACAATTGTAAAGTATCTGTGTTGAAATAATTTTCTATAGGTCTTGCAAATCGTGGACACTCCGAGGGGTGAGTGGGAGGGGGGGGGGCACAAATTAAATTAAGGTTTAAATTACAGTTTTTACTAAATTTTTAAAAACCAATTTTATCACTTTCGGTTATCGAATGAGGAAATAGTGCTTAAAAATTATAAGGGCGAAAACGCTGGACCGATTCGTTCATATAGCAAGTCTATGAATATTATTGTCATGGATTTTGATGGAAATGTTTATTCAAAAGGTATTTCAGTACTTTCAGTTATAATAATTCCAAAAAAAATCTATGATCTCTCTGATCATAATATAAACTATCACCCCTATGCCCCAACCTATATATAGAGTGCCATGAGACATTCAGAATGCTCTATGGGTACAATAAATGGTATTCATTTTTTTTTAATTTTAAAATTATTTAAAATAGAACTCGTATCTCATTAAAAAATTGTCTTACACAAAAAATAATGTCAGATTTGAAATCGGGAGAAAAAATCTTGCTGAATTGATATGTAACAAGATTTTTTGGTATCTGGCCACATTTGCGTCTACCAAGTGGCCACTGAATAGCCAGCATGTGACTAAAACCAACATGTGGCATGCGACACATAATTTAATATAAAATAATTCTAACGACTCTGAATTGAGAATAAAATTCTAACCGATAATGATGTGTCCTGTATCATATTATGTTGGTTTCGGTCACACGCCGGCCACTCAGTGGCCACTTGGTGGACGCAAATGTGGCCAGATACCAAAAAATCGTGTTACATATCAATTCAACAAGATTTTTTCTCCCAATTTCAAATCTGACATTATTTTTTTCTGTAAGACAATTTTTTAATGAGATACGAGATCTATTTTAAATAATTTTAAAATTAAAAAAAAAATTAATACCAATTATTTTACCCATAGAGCATCCTGAATGTCTCATTTGAAGCTCGGTAGAACTTTAAATGACACCCTGTATATATATATTTTACTTAACTATATATTAAATAATTTTATATTACCTTGATTAACGAAACCTGGATCTACCTCTGCAATGAAAAAAATGATAAAATTTTACATAAATCTAAATTTAAAAATACCATATTTACTTGGATCTTTATTTTGCGGATTTATGCCATCTGCAAGAAAAGTAATATATAATAACATTTTATCCGAGAACCCATATTATTATATTATTACCTTTTTCTACAAACATTATAAAAGCCGTCTCTGGAATAAAAAAAAAGATATAAATTTAACAAGTTAATTAATTATGTGATTACCGACCGACTATTATACTAGTTAATATTAAAAGATTCAATAAGATTCTAGTTTGATTTCGATAAAAAACAATAGACTCTAATTTGAACCAATAAACAAAACGTTTTTAATAAATCTAATGAATGACTTCGTCAAATTTAGAAAAAAGTTTCTGGTCCATAAATAATAGGGGATGATGAGGTAGATTTTTATTTTATAGCAAATTTCAGACAGTTTGAGAGGTCCAGCCAGTACTTAAATGGTCTATACGCATTATAATACTATTCCTAACCTCGCCATTCTAGTAACTTATAATCTTTCAATTTGTATTCAAATCTTCTTTATCCTTATAATATAGTACATTTGAATCTATCTTATTAATTTGAACAGTACAATTAATTTATTTTACATAAAAATGTTTTTCTTTATTTAAATCAAACTATAATATAGAACATAAAATTTATAATTTACAATATTTTATAAAGCGTTATTGGTTTTTAATGAATTTTTCTTATAACTTAAGCAATTTTTAACAATTAACTCAGTAAGGAACATTTCATTATAATTTTTTTTTCTAAACTCAAACTATTTTGTAACCTTAATTTGAAATAACACTTAGGAACTAAGGAACTAATACAATTAAAATCTACTCCGTGGTCGCAATTTCAAATCTATCCCATTTCAAAATTGTTAGTATTATATCAGATAAAATTAATTATAATAAATCAACGTTCGGGGATCATTATAAGAATGCACTATTTATATATTCTATTTAGTTTGTTAGAATCATTGATAGAAAACCGCATTTTGGAGATTATTTTCTGCTTGCGATTAAAGAAGTTACAAGTAAAAAAAAAATTCAACTAAAAAAAGTCAAAAAATAATTTTTTTACAAAATCAATAAGCCGATTAATTAATTGAATCAAATTTTTAAAACATCAATTGCTTTGAAAGGAACCAAAAATAACTACAATTTTAAATAATGTTTTTTCTAAAAAGAAAAGCGTAGACTCTCTGGTGAGCTCTAATAAATTTATCAGGGACTTGGTTGCAAAGATTCCAAGATTTTCTTTTTAGTCAAAAATTAAATATGATTAATATTATTTAAAATTGTAATTATTTTCGGGTGTTTTCAATGTAGTTGACGTTTTAATAAATGTGGTACAATTGATTAGTAAATTGTTCTTGTAAACAAATTATTTTACTAATATATATAAATATATAGATAACATATGCAAAGCTTAAGTTCGCTTATGATTATCATTATAATAGTATAACATTTACATAATATTATGAGTATAGTTAATATAGTTACATAATTTTAATTACCGTCAGTTAATTTATAGATAGCCATGGCATCTTTTTCGTATGAATCTAAAAAAAAAAAAGCGATAAATGTAGTGCAAGAATACAATGTGTTGCTTAGATAAATCATAGACTAAGTTAGTAAATAGTATATTGTTGATCTATGGGTCGTGGTATAAAAATGAAATAAAAATTATACGTACCATCTGCGAACGTACTGAAAACGCAGACAGATAAAACAATAAAGAAGTATCTGATAGTTGCCATAATAACGCGACTGAGAGTATTAAACGTTAAGAACAACCGTAGGAATGTGAGGGAATTTAACGAATGAAGCTCGAGTTACCTATGTCGACCCGTTAACAGAACTATAGAAACTACACCTGACCATACATAGTAAACAACAATAATTTAAAATAAACCAACACAAATGTAATGCGTCCCGAATATTTGGGAGGGCCCTCGGTTTTAAATTTGCTAAGAGTACGCCAGAAAGACGATAAACCACATTGTTAAGCGTTCGAATCGAATAAACATGGTTCGCTGTTGATTCAGCCGAAAAATGTCTCACTTTTTTTTAGCCCCGCGTTAGATCTACATTCAGCCTAATTTTCAGACCTTCAGTCCTAAAACTTAGCTCGAAAAAGATAAATATAGTCAAATGTTTCCTCCCTTTCTGTGGGATAGGGTAGAAATTTGCGGACTTTGACTACGGATAGGTTTTTGTTCCCCAAAATGTATCTTTAACTATTACTATAGCCTTTTTGTAGAGCTTCTTATTTTCACAAATTATTAGCTAATAGCAAGTTACAAAAATGCATGCAGTTTTTGTTAGTTATTAATAAAAAAAAACTATAAAATGGAGAGATCGGCCGGTAAAAGAACTGTCAAGAATTGATATCTGTTATAAAAATTCAAATTCGGCGTATAAATAAAACTTGTTTGGGGTGAATCTAGATTAAAATTTTCGAGGGACAGAAGCCTTTCAGTCTAAGTACAATCCGAATTTTCATATACGAGCAGAAAAATATCGTGCGCGTGTATTGTTTAAATAATAACATGTTTTCAAATAAAACTAAAAAAATATGTAGGTTACTCATGTACAAATACATTGTTTTGAAAAAACAGATATGTGTAACGTTCTGACGATATAGACTCATCTGCTTTAGTTATTGTAAATTACAATTCAATTAAAAACATGTCAAATTTAAGTTACGCCTATGTAAAATAATCTGTTGATATCGTTCCAAAAGGCTTAACTTAACTTCAACATGTTCTTAATGCTTTTTTTTCACAAGCTCAAACCCAATTAAGCTATCAGAATATCACATACAATTATTCGTTTCAATCAACACTTTTGTAGTTATAAGAAATAATGTAAATCTTAGCTTCGTTTCTAGCTTTTTCTATCGCTGGCAAAAAAAAAAAATCCTATCAAGCAAAATACTAAATTACAGTTCTTTTGAATTAATAATTTGGTTGTTGTTATTTTATGTCACAAGTATGTATATGGATACTTGATCATATTGAATGTTATTTTAAGGATTGAAAGTGATGTTACTATAATAGGGTATTTGTAAAATATTAGATTGACTTAAGCTGAAAATCAAGTGTTTCCTAACTTTTGAACAACTTGCATAATTACATGTTTTGTTTTTCAAAGAGTAAATTATTAATTAACTAATTCCTCGATTTTTAAGGATGATTAAATGTAGGTATAGCAAGAAAATAAAATATTCGTTGTTTTTAAGGACACTTATTTTATGTTTGAATTAACATTTTAATTGTTTATCAAAACAGGTATGTAATTTTACATTTTTTTGGTCACAAGTTATTAACAGGAACTAAGTTTATATATTTACAATTATTTTAAAATAGTTTAATATTATTACATATTAATATTGTTTGTCTCCTGGATATAATTTAGCTTTATAATGAGCTTATTAGAGTTTAATCATAATTTTATGTATTCGACTATTTCACAAGGACTGCTGCAATGTAAACAAATGATAAATGTCTTTTGTCAGTTTGATATCATACAAATTCAACTTTATTATTGTTCTTTAGCAAAAACAAGCTGTTTTTACATATTTCGTTACCATGTCGCTTATGTATTTAAGTGTTTGAAACATTTTTCTGAAATTTCTGTAGCAATGTAAACAAATGAAACATACCTATGGATGTTAGTTGTTACAATTTATTAACATTTTTAACATATATTATATTTTTTTTTAAATATATGATTATTATCTGTTATAAGACAAAATAGGAATCTTAATGTACATTTATTGAAAATGATAAAACATTATTAAAAAAACGCTTTCAATGCAAATCTGTAGATGGTAAATACTATATCAATCACCGATAAAAGCGATTGAATAGGCAATGGCGTAATTAAACAACTTAAATGTGTACTTTAAATGTGTATTAGGGGGAATATATTTATAATAAAAATATGAAAAAATCATTTCAATACACATATAGCTAGAATTCAAATAAAAAGTGTTTATATGGTTCAGTATACAGGGTGTCCCACAAAGATAAGACAAATTAAATAACTTTTGTTCAAGCGAATATTTGTGAGATTTTGGTTAATTGAAATATACAGTTTTGTTTTCAATTAATAATTTGCTTATAGATTACAAAGGTGCGTAAAATATTTTATTAGGTATTAATAAAAATCACAAGGAAATAGTGTGATCGGCCGGTAAAAAGAATTGCGAATAAAAATAACATTAACAATAATCTTTACAACAAGATTTAAAACCACGATTTAAAATGTACTACGAATTATGCATCAAACCATTATTGAAAAATGTGTACCAGTTTTCAGAGTACGGTTAAATTTCAAAACAGTTGTGTTCGATAGAAAATACACAGGTGTAGAGGCCTCTACTAATGTCAAGGTGGATTTTGTTTGGTTACTCTATACACGTCTTATGTATTAAGTCTATTAACTACAGAAATCTAAGTAAATTTAATATTGACTTTAAAAGTACAAAACCAACAAACAAGCATCATATTTGTGTTGAAAATAACATATTTGAACACTATAATTATGTGGCCTTACTCTTCCCGAAACTGAATTCCGAGAGCGAAGGGACAGAACCCTTTCAGTTTGAGTACAATCCAAGTTTTCACACACAAACAGAAAAATATCGAGCGCGTGTATTGTTCAAATAAATAATAATAACACAATTTTATATTATAATAAAAAAAAAATGTAGGTTACCCATGTACAAATACATTGGTTTGAAAAAAACAGATATGTGTAACGTTCTGATGACTTAGACTCAACTACTTTAGTTATTGTAAATTACAATTCAATTAAAAACATGTCAAAGTTAGGTTACGCCTATATTTTTTTTTTTTTTTTTTAAGTGCATTAGGGCATTATTATTTAAACGAATCTTTATAAATATAAATCAAAAGAGTATTAATACATACATATGAGTAAAATATATATTTACATATACAAAACATGTGTAGGGTTCTACTTCCAGTGAAGTAGTCCCATTCTTAATCTAATAATTAGACTAAGTCGAATGGCTTCATCATTAGTTGGAATATCAGCTGTACAGAGTAGGTACAAAATAGGTTCGAGAACACTACCTTGAGGTACTACCAGCTGATATACTCTTCCAGTTAGTGGTCGCTTCCTCGTATCTAACACGAAACTGTCTTTCAGTCAGATATGATTTGAGAAGTGCACACCACGTATGTGGGAGCTGCTCTTGCAGTTTTAGTAATAAACCTTTGTGCCAAACTTTATCAAAAGCTTGGGCCACATCAAGGAATACACCATAGCAGTAATTTTTCTCTTCCAACGCCTTACTGATCACGTTCGTTACGCGATGAACTTGGTCGATGGTCGAATGTTTATAGCGGAATCCAAACTGGCGATCTGGTATTAGTTGTTTTGCTTCAATAAGTGGGCTAAGACGCTTGAGAAGAAGTTTTTCGAATAGTTTTGACATGCATGGTAGAAGCGATACCGGCCGATAAGAGGTGGCTTGTTCGGGCGGTTTCCCAGGTTCGAGCAACATAATTACCTCCGCTCTTTTCCATTGCAAGATGGCGTTGAAGATGTGAGTAAGGTGGATGATTGCCTTCTTAGGTAGCTCTTTAAGGATGCGTGGACTTATCTCATCGTATCCAGGTGCCTTTTTCGCGTTGATGTTGGTATCGATTTCATGGGCTACTTCAAGTGGTGTAAAGTGCCGTATGATTTCTCTTGTAGAAATGAGTGGCTGACATTGAATGCTGTCAAGTTCAGAAATTATGTCGTTTGGTTGAAATACACGTTCGACATGATGTCCGTGTACTTCAGCTTTATCTTGTTCACTGCGCGCCCAAGTGCCATCTTCCTTTCTGATGGGTGGTATATGAACGCGAGGTCTTTTTAATCGTCTCGTGGCTTTCCATAACGGGTAATCGGAATCGGCTGTTGCAGATAAGCCACACAAATACGATTTAAATGTTTCATTTTTCACTTCTTTGATTTTATCATGTAGCAATTTGCTGATGGGTGTCGAGTTCTGTGCCAAGTTCGTCTTGATCGACGCTTTTGTCGAACAAGCTCTCTGATTTCTTTTGGATAGTTGAACTCGCGGTCGTCGCCTTTTTGAGATTCAGGTGATGCCGTTTTTGCCGCTTCAACAATGTCATTAGTCAGTTTATGTACTGCTATTTCAATGTCTGTTGACGATTTTAACCGCACAGAAGAGTGATAGCTTCTTCCAGAGTATTTCTAAACAGGGACCAGTCTGTGTATTTGTTTGTTAGAACATGTTTTCATAATGACATTTGAGCTTAACGATAATAACACAGGGATGTGGTCGGACGTTAGCTCTGTTAGTCCTTCAGCTTCAACATAATTAAGAGGAGATGCCTTTAATTACGAAGAAGTCAAGCAGGTCGGGGATTTTCTTGGAATCGGTTGGCCAGTAGGTTGGCTCTCTAGTAGAAATTATTTCAGCGTTTATAGTGTTAGCTACTTTTAGTAGAGCACGCCCTTTCGGAGTGATCAGTCTTGATCCCCAGTGAGAGTGCTTGGCATTGTAGTCACCA